TTTCCTTCCTTTGGAGTTGAACCTGGCGGTCATTATCCTGGACGAAATCGCCTCCCATTGTATCAGGGCATTTTAGATAGTATAACTAATAAATCCTATCATATTACTTATCTCCGTAAGTGCTTCTGGCGACTTTGTGTACCTGCTGCATAACATTTGTTTTTATTTGTTAATTGATGATGGCAGTGGAGACGTAGATAGATAGTTCCTGTACTAAGATCACACTTAATATACATCTTAATTTAGACAGTCTTCTAAAACGACAACGGAAAGAGACGAAGAACAGATTTAAAATAATTCAAATTAAAAACTTGCAAATCAGTTACCAGTTTGCAATGTACACAGTTCGTTGTGTGAAATTTTCACCCCAGAGTCCTTTAGATCCAGCCTGTGATCTGCAATCTCCAGTTCGCCTAAGCAGCTAGTCAGAAATAGAGTGGTCTGAATTAATTTGGCTCTCTGAGAAGTTTCAAACCGAGTAAGCCACTGATGAGCTCAGCCTAAAACCAGCGAAACAGCCATCCGGTATTTAAATTACCTCGATCTGAGTGGCAAACACTTCTGATTGATATGAATAGTATACAACTACTCATTTCAACCATTCAGTAGTATATAGTTTCCTGCAAAGTTTTGCGATAAGGCAAAATATTCTAAGTGTTCGAATAATCTATATCACATCTGGAATTCCTGTATCTTCAATCCATTGTGTGCCTGCTGTGGGTTGTGTATTAAAATACAGTCTGGTAGCGTTTAAGGAACTCTCTGATGTACGAAAAGAAACCCAGTGGGTGCGTACTGCCAATGAGTCCCGAACGCAGGTCAAACTGCTGTCTCGGACTCCCTGGTTTTCAATGGTTCTCTAACTGATATCAATCTTTCGTCAAACTTAAAAAGAACAGTCAAATCCCTACAAACCAACTCTTGAAAGTTTAAGAGAATGTTTTTTTATTGTTTAAACCAAGTAGCCAAAACCGCAGTGCCACACTTTGAAATTATTATCAAGTCAAAATGATAGATAAAAACTTATCTTTACAAAGTCTTCAGAAAGACACAAAATCTTAAAATCAAAGGGCAATTAATTCCTTATCCCAACCATCTACTTGAAAAGAAAAATTATGCATGATTATGAATCTCAGGTTTATCTTTATTATACAACCTTTTATAAAGAGAAAATTAATGAGTGTACTTAATCTTGCTAATGAATACACCTATAGAAAGCGACTCACATGATTAGAAGAAGAAAAGTTTCTCTTCTCTTATTGTTACTTTGTTCTAAATCGCTCTACACAAACACTGCATAACCACCTTGAGATAAGTGATAAAGTATCCATTTAAATACTTTAGATATGTTGAGAAAATTTCGATTTAGATTAATTTAGACTAATTCTGTAGTCACTTTTTGTCTGTTTCCCAGCAGCACGTACAAATAAATAGTTTTCTATACTAGTCTATCAGGGATTTTATACACATAGGCATTTTACGCAAAGTAAATATAAACTTACATGGAATATACTTATCACAGGTTTGTATGGCTTTAAAACTGTATAGCTAAGAAAATATGTAACTTACAGTATCACCGAAAAGATATTTTTCTCATATAAGTTATGTTAATTTACTAGATATACTGTATTCAAGGGGAAATGTTTCGAGTAATTAAGTTGCTTAATAATGGAAATTAAATTCCATTTAATAAATACCTGCGAAATTCACAAACGACAGCGAATCAGTAAGCGTTAATCATGTTACCATAATTAGAAGAACCATGAATCTGTTAAACAGGAACTAATATTAACTATGTGAATACAATATGGATAAAACATTCATAATAATAGTGAGATATTATGTAAATTTTACCATTGTTATTATTGTTCCTTTGGGTTCCGAGTGGTACATAGGGCTTCGTTCTGTTTTCTACCGTTCTCTTTATTTGCACGCGAAATTGCCCAAAGTCGCTTATCTCTTCCTCACACGATCTCCTCTATGTCTCCCTTGGACGACAAGCTCGTCGCTTCTGATTCGTGTTCCACTTGAACAATGGCCTGCATTGCGCGCGATGCCATACGATGGCCTCCTCAGCGTACACACACTCCATCTCCATTTTCTACTATATATTTGTTGAGCAATTGGCTCTTGGTCATTTTTTCCCACAATTTCTTGTTGATAGTTCTTTCTGACTGGTTATCAGATCTTCAGTGTAGAGTCAGAAACGCAGCTGTTGATGAAAGTCCGCAATAAGCTATCGGAATTCCTTTTTGTGATGCACCCGCCAAGTCTCTCACCCATATAGAAGAAATGTCTGACTTCACAATGGTGTTGTAAATCCTAATCTTGTTCTTTATGCTGAGGTGGAGTGCAGAAGATTCCCGAATAGATTTCACATTGATGAAGGCGTATCTTGCCCTTCCGATTCTGGCTAGCTGACTAGCTGGCTTTGACATCCATTCTAACTGCCTGCAATTGAGAAAATGCTTACGGTCTACATAAGTGAAGGAAGCAATCGCTGTCAAATCCCTCCCGTTGATGGTGGCTGGTGCTGGTTGTTGTTACTGTTGCTATTGGTTGGTTGGTGATCTTCACTACCCACGTTTTCTCTATGTTCGTCTCTTTAAGTCCTGTCTTCACTGCCAGCCTCTTCAGTGAGATTTTTGGTTTTCGTCTGCAAGTCTTCGAGTTTGTGTGGCATTAAACATAAATCATCCAGTCACGAAATCCAGATTTTCTAGGGTCTTCTCATCATTGGTCCAGCGTATTCTTGTCTCCTCGCTTCCTGCACACATTCTGACGCATAATCCAGTTCACCACAAATAAGAATATCATCGGTGGCAGTAGCCGGCCCTGTCTTACGCGTGAATTCACTTCGAATGTCTAGCTGAGGTTTCCGTTGTGATTACTATAAGTCTTCGGGAAAACAGATATGTCTCCACAGATATGGCTTTAAATGCCGTTCATACGGGATAGCATTATTTACTTATTTACTATATGATTTATATATCAGCATCACTATCATTAGCATCAGGGTATTATAAATAAATCTGCGAGAATAATAGGCTAATTAACCATTTCGAGATAAGATTATGACTTGTCAAATTGTGGTATATCTATTATTACTGTGATAAAGGTATGTTGAAAGAAATGAATTCTCTCTGACTAAATCTCATATTATCATACTGACTTAGACAAAAAATACAGATATCATTTTATGACATGAGTGATAAAATAATTGCTAGCTAGAATACTAAAGTATTTAGTACTCTATTCATTGTAACTCATTGACAGATTCTCTATTTTAAATAGACGTCTCTAATGAAATGACATCCAAAATAGCTCAGAAATTAAAAAAAAACAGCGATAATAAATTGGTCCAATAACTTCCCACAACTGGACGCCTGTCGTTATTGCGAAACTGCTTTAAGTACGGAAATTAAGGCAGCTTTAAACTTTTTTTAAAAAAAAACAACTTTTTATCTGTTAGTAGGTTTAATAACCGTGTGAATTGTGAAAGACTATAAATAATTCAGTTACTGACGTGACTGGGAGTAATAAATGTGACGCATGAGATAATTCTTAATCATGCAAATAATGTGAATGTCGCCACCAGTACTTTGCAAACTTAAATTGATATAGTGGACTTATCAAATCACCTACACGACGCTCTGACTTCCATCACCCAACTCGTTGTATATATATAATAGCGAAAATCGTGTTCTATTTTAAGGCATCAGATTAAAATCTAATGAATTTTATCATTTCACTTAACCACATTTTGATTTCAAATAGTTAAATCAGACACCCGGTTAGATCAGGTTGTAATAAAACAAAAGGGATAGACTATCAGAGTATTAAAATAAAAATCTTCAGTGTCGATAAAGAGACTTAGATATTAACAGAGCATGTTTTCTTATCATGTTACTGTATGACTTTAAGAAGCCATACAATCCAAGCACGAGTTTACTATTATACATTTCATATATCCCGATTTTTTATCCCATTATATAATTATGCGAAAACATATATGTGTAGGTCATATGAAATTGCTGTGATTTGACCTGAGTTTTTTTTTGTAAGACAAATTAATGAGGTTCTGATAAAAAGCATACAGACTTATACATATTTTGTTTTGATAATTACTATTCTATTGATTATTTTTCTATCTTATTCCATTACGTTCCCAGTGGAATAGACAGCTTCAAGCTAAAGGCTTGAAGTTTCGATTGCAGTGGTGTTTAGCTTTACGAGATGGGTTTGCTAGCCTTGTGCCCAACCTCTCCTCTTTAACAGTTTTATTATTGATGTAGAGAGGTAAAGGAGTGCGTCGGCCGGGGATCTAACCTCGACCCACAAGCATGGTTGGCGAATAATCTACCATTATGCCACCGACGCACCGTTTCGATAATAGTCCGTTGTTTTGTTGTTGATTTTATTTCCTTGAAGAGGTCTAAACATGCTATTTAACTGAATATTTTTAGTCATCGATTGCACCTGGTTATCAGATTATTCGACCGCGGAATTAGTGAATTAATTACAATTGGATTTTTTGTGGAAAGGGAACTATATTCTTACTGCATAATCCAAATTTCTGTTCAAAATTGTTTTAATCTATTAAGTGCAAACCGGGAAACTATCAGCTAAGCTTATTTTCTTAGAAATCACTAAACCGATAAAATGAAGGAACAGTTACAATCGAAATAAACACAGTTAAGAGAATAAATTACAAAATAGTGTTAATCAGTTGACTAAAGTTCTTTTTTCACCACAGATTTTTATTTTGACATATTCAGTGCACATACTATGCATACAATCGACAATTAATCACTGTATATCACTTGAATGAAAATAGTAAACTTTCCCCCTTTACTATGCTTTTCAGTGTTGCATTTATAGAAGAAAGAAATATCATCTAACCTGTTTTTGTTCAAATGTATCAAAAACCGGAAATCCAATCGCCATCACAACAATTAACAACCAGTTTAAATCATAAGTAAACAAATTAACTTCTATAAATGAAAACTAGTGGTAATGACTTAGACAATATGGAAAGGTTAAATTCTATAAAAAAAGAAAACATTCACAACACAGAAGATGAAGAAGATGACAGAAATGCGGCCAGAGTAGAACAAAGTCATGATGAAGAAACAGATGTAGAAAAAGTCGACAGAACAGATGACGGAATAAATTCATCAGAACTTAAATGTACACATATTTTCAATGACCAGTTGAATTCATCAGATTCTACTCAGTTGAAAACTAGAAATCATAGAAAGTGTAGAGCCCCATTACTACATCATAATAACCGAGTGAAAAATAAACATTTACACACACAAGATATTAACAACAAAAAGTCAGAATCACACTTATCATCTAGTTCACTACCAGAAACTATAAAAAATGAGTCTACACCATCTTTATTAACACAAATTAAACAGCAATTTAGACAATTCTGTGAAACAACTTCTTTACGAGGTGTACCAAAAATTGTCAGTACAAAAGATTCAAAGCGTCGGTTTTTATGGCTTATCTTTGTTATCGCCTTTTTCATTGGTTGTATCACATGTTTAACATTTATTATTAATCAGTATTTAGAATTTGATGTTATTCATCAACCAAAAAAACTTTACGATCAACCACGACCATTTCCCTCGGTAACACTATGCAATCTACGTCCATTCTCTACACGTGATATACGTAAATTGAAAAAAGCTGGTGTTCTACCTGTGGATATGTACTTTGAAATGTCAAAACGTTTTGCCGGCAGTATACCTACCGAGTATCGTCGATATTTAACTATGCTATGGGATTTTTCTACATATTTAGCCAACCTTCCAGAATTAGTTGATGCTAAAAACTTGGGTCATTCCTGGATGATATTGTAAAACGCTGTTTTATATTATATAGAACTGGTAGTATAACAAGAGGAACAGCCTGTGAGAGATCAGGCTATTGGACAAGAACACAGGATCGTGTCTTTCATAATTGTTACACCTATACAGTGAATCCGAACAGAACTAATACAGCTTTAAACATGGAATTAGTAGTTTATTTGGACAATTTAATTGAACAAACTGACTGCTTTGATTGTCAGGTAAGAAAATTATTTAAACAGTCTATTGTATGCATAAAGAGTCTATTATTAATAATAATTACTTTTTGAAATTATACAGAAGATTTGTAAAAATTTTAAATAGAGGGAACACCGAAACTACTGCCAGGGAATTTCTAGAAGCCTGGCACTCAAGTTAACCATCCAGTAATTAATAAACACACTAATATAGACCAAATTTACCAGATAATAAAAGTAAATCATGTGACAAGAAAGTTCAAATTCCAAGTCAATAGAAATATGGTCAATGGAGATATAAATCAACTACCGGTCACAAAGATGGTAGCCAGGAGATACAATTCAGATGAGCTCATATAATACTAAAACCTGCGCTGAAGATGTTGTCTAGAAGCTTCACAAATAAATCAACCAGCTCCTCAGAGAACACAACAAATTCAAAATAATTACTTTTCAAGTTTCTGATTGCTAAATATAAGGGATTTGGTGCTTCAGCGACAAAATGCTCGCCAACTACATCGCCAACCGACACACTCTTAAGTCATCTCTTAGCCAGTGGTAAGCCAGAGGGAAGGTCGGGCATGAGGCTAGCAACCCCAACCCGTAAGAAAAAGAATAACACCAGTCCTAATGGGAATTTGAAGCTCAAACCTTTGGCCCCTATGTTCCACTTGGAATGTATAAGAATAAAATTTAAAAAACTGCTTAATATCTTAAAATGTTTGTTTATAAACACTGAATTTTTTCATTATAAACTGATATTCAACTTTTGAAACTGAAAAAATCCTAAGATTTCATCACACAGAAAAGAAAGTAGTAGTCTGAGTTCGTAATTAAAAAACATATTGTATATTTTGAAACAATATCTTTTTAGTTTATTCATTAGTGGAATCGGTCCTATCTGATTAATAGTATCAGTCCACTGTCACCGAACAAAGCGTTAGATGGCAGTGGAACCTGCATCTCAACTTCATCGATTTCAAGAAGGCCTTTGACAGGCAGGGTTGTCCGAGAAACAATTTGGATACTGCTTCAACACTACGGCGTGCCCAAAATTTTTATCAACCTCATTCAACAGCCATATGACAATACCATGTGTCAGATAACTCACTGAGGCTTTTTTAGTGAATATGGAAGTAAAAACAGGCTACTTATTATCACTAATGATATTCTTAATTGTGTTGAACTGATTTATGCATCAGACTGTGTATGGGGAGTGACGAGACAGGAATCGCTGGACGACCAATAAGAAGACTTTATAAGATCTTGATTTCACAGATGATACATGTCTAATATCACACTCACAAACTGAAATACTTGCAGTTGAAAACCAAAAGACTGGCAGAGGATGCAGTGAAGAAATGACAGAACACCAAATGAACATGGAGAAGACGGAAGTGATGAAACTAACCAACCAATAGCAACAACAACAACAACCATCACCAATCACCATCAAAGGGAGAGATTTGACAGTGGTTAATTGTTTCACTTTTCTAGGAAGCATTGTTTCAACCACAGGAAAACGGGACAGATGATGTTAAAGCCAGCCATAATTGGAAGGGCAAGATACGCCTTTATCAATGTGAAATCTATTCGGGAATCTTCTGCACTCCACCTCAGCATAAAGAACAAGATTCACACTTTCAACACAAATGTGAAGTGAATCAGTTTTCCTATCTAAGTGAGAAACTTGGCGAGTACATCACGATAAGCATTTCAGATAGCTTGTTGCAGACTTTTATCAACAGCCGCCTTATCTGGTTCCATATTTAAGATCAGATGGCCGGTGAGGAAGAATTACCTACGATTAAATCTGGGAACGAACCAACTAAGAACCTATTGCCCAATAAATATGCAGGAGAAAATGGAGATGGATGGACACACACTGAGACAACAGCTAGTTGATATCATGAGTTCGGCCGTTGAGTATAATCCTAGTAGGAAACGATAAGTTTGTTCTCCAAGAGTGACATGGAGGGGATCATATCAGAAGGAGATGAGAGCTGAATAACAATCGCGGTGTGAGCTAAAGAGGAATGCAGAGAACATAAGAAAATGTTTAAGCCCTGTGTTTTTCTTGGAACCCAAATGTATTATATATATATAGTTATAATAACCGGCACTTCTTAAGGTAATACCTGTATTTGTGTAAGACAAGTGATAGTTTTAAATGCATCAAGAAGTGTAGCCGTTTGACTAGAAGTTTTTATCTATAAACGTTTAAGAAATTTCTTAGGTAGTGTAAGTGGCTTCACCTACTAAAATCTTGTAGTTCATACCAATGTAGGTGAGAGTAATTTTAAAACCGTACTTTTTAAAATCTGTTTTTTTACGTTAATGGGTTTATACTAAAGTAGAAATGAAAACTCGCTCTTTCGGTTCCTACGTTAACTTTCAACCTTAATCAACACTAAAAGGTTGTAATGTTTGATTAAACTGATAAGAGAGCATGATTCGATGTTGGAATGCTGACCAGACTCAAGGGAGATTCGTAATCAATTCCCAGCCACCGTATACCTTAGTCTTGCTTGGTCTTACTAGACTGTAATCAGCCTGGAATAGGAAGATAGTTTAGCGTGAGGCTGGCAATTTCAATTCACACTAAATAACACCAACTCTACTGAAACTTCAGGGCTTGAAGCTGTATTTTCCACTCAGAATTCTAAGAAAGGAAAACAGTACTATGACATTCATTTCTGTTTGCATAGACATTGACAAAGCATACATATTCGTAAGATTACATTCTTATTAAACCTATTAGTTTGTAAGGAATAATGAATCAGTATAGATATAAGTATCCTAAAGAAATAATTATTTACGCTTCAGAGTTTTTGAAAAGTAATGAATACATGATCGGCCAACTATGAAACTTATAATTAACCGGGTGTCTATTAAATACAACAAGATCCAATTACAGTCTGTATGAATTAATCAGACAATGAGATTCTAAGTCACTGAAATTAATCTTATTAACACAAATCATTCCAGAGTACAGGGGAAATTATCATGTTCTCTGATAAACCAAAATGTTCAAAATACACTTTTAGATTCAAGTAAGACGTTACAAAGTAAAATTCTTATTTCGCTAATACACTGACTTATTGTGTGATTTCAAGTCCTCAAATATTCCCATAATTAATATTAGAACAAGAAAATATAAGCGAACAATACTATCTTTGATTCGAGCTTCTTCAGGCTTTACTCTAATTTACATAGATTTATATGTAAGAGTCTGACCATGGATTGATATCAGTTAGAGAACCATTGAAAACCAGGGAGTAATTAACATCTGTTTCATCCTAGTTTGAGAATCATCGGCAGTACGCACCCTACGGACATTGATTGGTGGTCGTGCTAAATCACGAATTGGTAGAAGTTAGAATTCATTGGCCATTTAATTGGGTCTCAGTGGCTGAATGGTATAGGAGCTTGTCTTGTAACCAGAAGCTCCTGGGTTTGAACCCCAGTCGGTGCGTACTGCCGATGATTCCCAAACTAGGAAGAAACAGTTATCCAGCACTCTCTGGTTTTTAGTGGTTCTCTTACTGATAGCAATCCGTAGTAAAACTCCTAAAAACAAATTTAATCCCTACAAACCAACTCTTCAAAATAGATTTATATATAAAAATCTTAACCAATGACGGTGAGTTTGCAGATTAAATAATAATGATAATATGGTAAATGTTTTGAACGTCAGTAATAACAATGATTATAATGATAATAAGGTTTATGCACGTGGTGATAAGAACAACGAAGGTAGTAATATGTGTATGTGTAAACAATTCAGTTAATAAATTAAGTCAAATCTTAAAAGTTACGCAATGCTTAAGGTGAGTTGGACAGATAATCAAAGTTTAAATAAATATTATAAGAGTGGGAACGAAATGGAAAATCAGAAAGGGTAGAAAGTTTCCCTTTAAAAATTTCCCTAGGCCAAAGGAGAGGCAAAGGTAGAACAAAGACTAGAAGTGTCCTCTCAAATTCATTCCCATAGCCTCGGCTATGTGTACAAGGCGGGTTCGAATTCCGTTTGAAAGGTTCGATGGAACGTGATAGATAACTTTGAAGATACTTCTTCTGTATACTTAGTAATTACTATCAATTAAAATAGTACTTCTTATAGATTTTATTTGGTCTTTCCCGAACTATGAAGAGAGATACTCAGGAATACGGTTGTCGACCTGTCTGGTTGTTTACCCTATATAACTTTCTCCGCAGGAGCAACTAAATTTGTAGATAAACATAGAAGGGGCACAACTAGGCAGCTTGTCTTTTGCTTCAGCAATCTTAATTGGCCGGTTGGAAAATAACAAAGAAAGGGTGGAGGCAATATAAGTCCTTTTTATTGCTCTAGATACTCTCAGATGTAGGACTTCACTGGCCGTGTCACTATTAAATTGCCATGTTAGAAACAGTTGTTTCTTTTTAACTGTTGTCAGTTTCTCTTTATTATGCCGGATGTCCATGTGTCTCTTTACAAATCCATTATTCTAAGTCTCCAGAACTTACGTTGACTACAAGCGTTGCGTAAAACGTATTTTACCCTTTCCGTACTAATTTGTTTATTAGACATGTCAAAGAGTGAACCAGTATTATTATTTACTGGATGATGTTTCGAACACAGTTTATTCTTCACAACCATATCAGTTATAACTACGCAACTCCTAAAGTTGGGTTTAATATTTTGTTTTAAAATATTTTTCCCTTCCTGTTCGTCATAGAGTGAGTAGAGTTTTTCACATGGCCCGGAAATTTGTTGAATTATTTCTATTACACGTATTTTCAGTTGGTTCGATAAATAAAGCTTCCGTTATCAATCTCTCTCTTCAACCTGTTATATTGGATTTTAAGACTGTCACCTTATCCCATCCTGTTGCATGATATCATGTAACTGCATGTAGTGATATGGCTTAACTCTTCTCCAGAACTCTTATTTTATTAGGCTCAAGTAATCTAGATTTTGCCAGGGTTTTGTGCCCCGCTAGTCTACTCCTTTGACCTATGTATTTAACCTGAAAATCATT